GTGAAATGTGAGCCAGACAGTTTGAGATTTTTGCAAATGTTATGAGAGAATTTCTGTATTTTATGGTTCATCCCAGTGCAATATGTTGTGCTAGAGCGCCCTCCTCAGGGTAAGAAAGGCCTGCAGCGGCCGGAGAAGCTGTCAGCTTGGTTTCAGCCGGTGAACGGCTCGGTGCAGGCCGTGTTCAGCTGGCAGGTGTCTCCAGAGAGCTCGGGACAGACCCCCATCACTGGATTCCAGCTCTCCTGGCTCAAAGTGTCCCGCAGCAGCACCAACGGCTCGCTCGTCTCCCAAACACACTTCCTGCCCCCCGTGAGTCACACACACGCCTGACTGACCAATCACACAACACAGCAGCACTCTAAACACACTCAATGTGAACCTGTGCCTCAGGATCAGCGCTCTCTGACAGTAGAGGCGCTGCAGCCCCAGAGCGAGTACAGAGTGCAGCTGCAGGTCCTGTCTGGAGCAGGGAACGGACCCTCTGTGTCTAAAACCCTCCACACTCCTCACGTGAACCGCACACGCCTCTGAGGTACAAACACCACAGACACAGCACTGGAGATAGAAACGTACATCACAACATGCTTTAGGGTTATTATACCAGGGATGTTATCATTAACTAAAACTAAAACCATAAAAAAATATTTACATTAATGGAAATAAAATAAACATGAAAAAGCTTATTTTATTTCAGCTGGTCACTAAGGCAACATTCTCACTTTAGTTTAAGTTGAAGTAACACTTAAACTGGATAAAACATTTTAAATAATAAAAATAAAAATTATAGTAAACACAGAAAATATCTAATTTAAAATATTAACAACAACTAGTATTTCAATTATACTAAAATAACACTGTTTCATAGAAACAATACAGTAGCATAAACACATTTTGTATGATGAACATGTTTTCCAGTATCTGGTTTATTAATTTATAAGTTATATTATATATACGTTTATAAGTTCATAATATATAAGTTGCTGTAACCATCCTCAGAATTCAATGAGCAAAAAAATTATTTAAAAAAATTTAATTAATCCTGAGCTTGACATAATCGATTAGCATTTCTATTTTATTTCTAAAAACCATAAAACATGAAGCAGTTTCATTTAATAATAAATAATATTAAGGTAATTAAATTATCAAAATTACTTCAGGATTGTGAAATGTGTATAATGCTCACAAATTCATGATTCATATTATGAAAAAAGTCATAATAGTAAACAAAAACAACAATGACCTGAATACCCTAAGGGAAATATATTATGATAACTTTTTAAAATGGAATAAAAAAATAATAATAATGATGACATGAATATGAAGATTACATACCAAGGCCTCTGTTTAAAATTTTTTTTTTTTTTTATCATCTCTGACATACTTGTTTGTCATTGATCTATATATATATATATATATATATATATATATATATATATGACATTCAGAGAACAAGGTGTGTGTAACAAAAGATGCAGCATAAGAAACTCGACAGTCCAATTTTCTTTCTTCCGTGGAACACAATATAAAATGTTTTGAAGAATGTTCACGCTGTTCTTCTCTGTTCAATGAAGGCAAAGAGTGTCCAGGACTTTCATATGGAAGTCCTTTTCTGCCACGTAAGAAAAAAATAAAAGTCAAATATCAAAAGTAAAATCAGGATTATAAAAATAAAGTAGAAACCATGATAAAAAAGCCAAAATTATGAGTTTAAAAAGTCATAATTATGTCAAATATTTTTTTAATTATGACATAAAAAGTACACATTATGTGATGTTAGGTCAATTATTGGTAAGTCAGTCGTCTTCTACTGGTGAAACTGCAGCTCTACCTTCACGTAAGAAAAAAATAAAAGTCAAATATCAAAAGTAAAATCAGGATTATAAAAATAAAGTAGAAACCATGATAAGCCAAAATTATGAGTTTAAAAAGTCATAATTATGTCAAATATTTTTTTAATTATGACATAAAAAGTACACATTATGTGATGTTAGGTCAATTATTGGTAAGTCAGTCGTCTTCTACTGGTGAAACTGCAGCTCTACCTTCATGTCAACTGCAGAAAGTCAAAATTATGAAAGTCAACTAAGGCTTTTTAGCTCAGAATTTTGTCTTTGTATGTCATAATTAGGACTTTAATTTCAGTTGTAACTTTATCATGTAATTTCATGTTTTAAGTGATAATTATGACTTTTTATGTTAACTTCGACTTTTACCCCATGATTTTGACTTGGTGTCATAATTTTGAGTTTATCTCATAAATATGCCATTATTTCCATTTATATAATCTTTATAAAATGTCTTTTTTTTCTCATGTTGGCGGAAACAAGCAGCCATAGTTTCAGTCATTTTTGAGCTTTGATTGAGAAACAGCTAAATTCCAGTCGATATCCTCTGAAACACTGTCTGTGCTCTGCAGCAGCTCACTGTAGCAATGGCTAATAATATTATCAACTAAGGCTTTTTAGCTCAGAATTTTGTCTTTGTATGTCATAATTAGGACTTTAATTTCAGTTGTAACTTTATCATGTAATTTCATGTTTTAAGTGATAATTATGACTTTTTATGTTAACTTCGACTTTTACCCCATGATTTTGACTTGGTGTCATAATTTTGAGTTTATCTCATAAATATGCCATTATTTCCATTTATATAATCTTTATAAAATGTCTTTTTTTTCTCATGTGGCGGAAACAAGCAGCCATAGTTTCAGTCATTTTTGAGCTTTGATTGAGAAACAGCTAAATTCCAGTCGATATCCTCTGAAACACTGTCTGTGCACTGCAGCAGCTCACTGTAGCAATGGCTAATAATATTATACTTCTTTACAGCTGGAGGAAAGAAGTGAGGAATCAAGCTACTCGTATATGATGAAGTGCTTGTGTTGCTCCTCATTTGGACAGGTGTGTCTGTCTAAGGACTAAATGTAAAGCACTCTTCATCATCAGAGGGTGTCTGCTGTCATGGAGTCGGAGTAATGGGACGAGAGCACTCGCACCAGACCAGCGTGACCACTGATTAGATCGTGATACAGGAATGATGAATAAACAACTTATGCTTTTGTGATGTAAAAATTAGTAGCACTGATGTATTTAGTATGGAGTTGCATATAGTTATGCGCCACATCATTTTATTAACATTTGTTTTTCATACAGAAGTTTAATCAATCTCAGTCATGAAACACAAGCTGTATGAATGTCTGAAAAGCTTGTGAAACTATTTTACATTACTCTTTTTTAATTTAGGAGACACTGTTTTTCCAGAAGTGCATTCATCAGATATATTTTGATCGTGTGCTTTCCTTGAGAATCAAACTCATGACTAGCAAAGTTCATTTTACGAACAGTTTACACAGAAATTCGTTACGCTCGTGTTTCATGAATAATGCCTAATATAAATATTTTTAATTGAACAAGTAATGTAATATATTAAATTCAACACTGCATCTCTAATTAATCTCAGATTGCACCATTTGAACAGGGTTATTTCTAAACAACAGCATGTCTTATTTTATTTATTGTGAATGTAATGCATTAATCTCAAGCAGAACGAGTGTAGGACAGATCGTGAGAAATGTCTGTGCCTTATACTGTATCAGTTATATCAGGCTAGATCAGATTGATTTGCTGCAAAGCGTGTTAACATGTCTCGCGTTAGCTGTCTGTCTTTACAAATACACTCACGGCATACAGACAACATGTGCTGGGATACTGCTGCTTTAACTGGGCAAATGTTTTCATTAAATGCTTTTGAAAGATATCTTTGTACAATATAGCATACAGTTTTGTAAATATTGAATTTGATGTATTATCTATGGTTTGTTGTCATTACTAATAAACTAAGCTAAATGAAGCTCCACACTTTTATGGTTTATGCATATATGTGTCTATATCAGGAGAATGTAAACTGAACATCAACAGGAATATTCTTAAAACAGATTTAGACTCGGGTGCACCAATCATTACATTATGAAAACAGTCGCCTATTTCTGAAAGTTGTCTGAACATACAAAATGTCCATTATTACTATTACTGTTTTTACTATTATTATTATTTAAAAAGTTTTTTCCCCTCTAATAGTTATGTGAACATCACAGAAAGCATTAATTCGTTTTATTATTTTGCAAACATGACGGGAATGTTACTTTGAATGTTCTCTGAGCGCTCTGAAACCAATAGTAACGTTACAAAACAAACATTGAACAAACGTCCAACTAAAACATCATAGAAATACTTAATAAACAATGCATAAATAACAATTTGATTGCTAAAAAACAGGTAACTTTGAATGAGTATTGTATTAAAATTACTGGAAGAACGTTTGTTCGTAAATTTAACGATTGAACCGTGAAGGTTTCCTGTAAGCAAACAGAGCACCGTGAGTGAATTAAAGAAGGGCAGCCGCAAGACTCAAAATATCCAAGCATAATATTTAAATATTGATGTGATTATTGACATTAAAAAGAGCTCGCTATCTCCTTCCCGTGTTGGGTCGTTCTTGAACGATTTGTTAATTTTGAACGAATCTTTAATGTGACTCGGGAAGAACGAGTCGTCTCGGGAGTGATTCGTTCAGTCGCGCATGCGCAACATCCTATAGGTTCTGTACTGGAATTAGTCAAATAGTTCACCTGTTTTGAGTCTTCGGGTTTTTCCGAGTCGTTCGTTCATCACGTGACAGCCCGTAAACCCAAACCCGAAGACTTGTCAGATAAGAGGTGAGGTGAGCTAATCATAGACTGAAGACCCAGGTAAACAATGAATTCATCTTTTCTGTTTCTTATAGCAGTTTTGTATTGTTTGTAGTGTGATCAACGTTTGCGTAAGTAGTAGACGTATTAGGGAAGTAACACGTAACATTTTAATTATATTTTGCTAAAATGAACGAAATGACTCGGAAAAAAGATTCGTTCATTTTGCTGAACGAGACTCAAAGGTCCGAGTCGGTAAAATGATCCGAACTTCCCATCACTTCCTGCTAGATGCCGCCAAAGCGCTTCGGCGAGGGACGTCATCGGCGCGCGCCGCGCTCGGTCTGCGACCATAACAACGCCTGATAAACCTCACTGTTATCGATTTCATTGATAGCGCAATATCGATCGGATTTTATTCGCACTGCCTTTAAGATCCCGCACACATCGTCCCTGAGAGCGACACATGGTGAGGCTGTGAGTCGCAGATGCGCGCGAGTGTTTGAAAGGCTGGGCTTTGTGTTTTGTTTGATTGCTAAATAAATGATCTAACGTTATTCAGATCTGACTGACTGATTATCTCACTATAGGTCATTTTTGCTTAGAGCTTCCTGAGGGCGTTAGACTTGTATGTGTTCATGTATTCTTTCAGTTTGATTTTCGATCAGAATATTAGTCATATTTTCCTCTAATAAATAATAAAATCAGTCTGCGATCCGCTGGTCTTACTGCCTAAACGAGATTCACACCAGTACCACAGTAGTACTAGATCACAGCACCTTAGATCATCAGATACATACCACACGATTATAAAAATCATTCATTATATACAGTATATCATGGTGTATAACAAAGACGCAAAGTATTACCACATGAAAGCATCACTGAACCGTGTTTTGTGGTGTACCGTGGTGATACTATATTGATAATGTTATATGACGGTGGTATAGACTGTTTAAAAGTACCATGTGCCAAATGCTTATAACAATAAAAAATAATCATAAAATTAACTTTCTGAGTTTTTTCTCTCTCCAGAACTCCATGTAAAAAGACACCTTGCAGAATTAATTCACTATAATAATGACAAATAGACAGGATAGGCATACAAAATAACTAATTTTAAAAAAAACAAGACAATTTTAAATAGCATATTCAGTGTTTAAAAGAGTTTGCAAAATTTGCTTACAAAGTACTCCTGTGCTTGAAATTGTTTGAAAATGATGGCGCCTATGTGGGTCTATATATAGTACACAATTTTGTGTAGTGTTTTTAACGAGACCCTAACCAATACCTGTTACCCACACAATACTTTTTATGTTATTTCTGCAAAGTACTGACTTCTCATGAATTTAATATCAAATCAACAACATTGTTTTATTCGTTGTTATTTTATTCGATCTTTTTTTCAGCGTGCAGATTAGACAAGTACTTCCACACTGCCGGGAATTCCAGCGTCTGCGTGTCGATGAAGGAGTCCTAAACACAGAACGGGTGGAGAGGACCCCAGGAGGAATGGGGTAGCGTTCTCGATGAGGGTCCCGGCAGCAAACAGCTCCGTTAGGGCAGAGTCAGGCTCGGGTGAGATGCCTGAGAATGGACGCTCCAGGAGGAAACGGGTGCCGAAGACGTGCGACTGCTGCGGGCCCCACGGCGGGCCCCACGCGCTGAAGAAACGCGGCCGCAAGAAGAAAGAGATGCTGAGCCAAGAAGAAGAAGAAGTGGCGGCGGAGGAGGTGGTGAGCTCGGCGGCTGTGGACTCGGTGGTAACTTTGGAAGCGGACGCAGCTTCTGAGATGGAGGAGGCACCGTCTCCTGAAGGGAGGACTGAGGGTGGGAGTGAAAGCACCGTCCTGGTGAACGGCTTGGAGAACAGCGCTCATGCCAACTGTACACATCCCAGTGACAACACAGAGCTGAGCCGTTCTGCTACGCTGAATGACTTAAGAAAGAAACCCGCCGATTCAGAGCTGGACGTTTGCACTCACACTGATGCCATGGAAGCCGAGCCGTCCAGCTTGAGCACTAATGTAAACAAGGCCTCCTGGGACCATCACTACTGCAAGCCCCTCGCTGGGGAGAATCAGAACCACTCCAGGGAGGAGACGGGCCAGCCGTCTGCATCGCCTCCTCTCGAGTTTACAACTGAGGGAATCATCGAGTGGATTCATGGTAGTGTTCGGATGATCTCCACAGCTTCTGTTGATTTCTGGTATCATGTTTTAGTTACTGAACGTGCTTTTTATCTCCCAGAATTCCTCGAGCAGTTCTATGGGAAATATGGAAGCTTCACCCCATTAAGTGATACCGACGTCCTCGATCACCTAAATAAGACATTTCAGTCTGATCTAAATGACAGGCAAGTTTAATCACTAATGAATAATTTTTTCCACAAGCACAGTACAAAATCAAGTCCAAGTCCAGTTCTCTGTAATCAGTGAAAGGATCGGTAAGTCAAAAATGATTCTTTCATTCAGCAAGGACACATTCAGTTGATCAAAAGTGACAGTAAAGATTTTTACACTATACAAAAAAAGCTTTTCTTTTGAAATTTCTATTCATCAAAGAATATGAAAAAATGTATCGCAAAACGTTTCCACAAAAATATTCATCTGTTTTCAACATTGATAATAATCAGAAATGTTTCTTGAGCAGCAAATCAGCATATTAGAATGATTTCTGAAGATCATGTGACACTGAAGACTGGAGTAATGATGCTGAAAATACAGCTGCACATTACAGTTTAACAGATATTCACACAGAAAACAGCTGTTTTATACTGCAATATTATTTCTCAGTATTACCGTTTTTACTGTGCTTTTGAGCAAATAAATGCAACCTTGGTGAGCAGAGACTTCTTTCAAAAACATTAAAAATCATACCGACCCCAAAATTTTGAACGCTAGTGTACATTTCCAATTAATGTAAGAGAGAAAAAGTGTGATTTGATGTGTTTAAAACTAGCTGTCTCTCATGCTAGATTACATTAGATATGTTCGATAATAGGGATGCACCGATATGAAAATTTTGGCCGATACCGATAACCGATTGCTATTTATTTTTGAAAGCCGATAACCGATATGTTGGCCGATAAATCTATGTCCAAATTGTTATATATTTTTTGAGAGCCTGATTACAAAAAAGGTCTCATCATTAAAAGCCACATCCCAAACACTAAGCAGCCTAGTTTGAACGGTCTACGTTTTAAAAATAATTTTACTCTCCCATTACCAAATTTAGTCATAAAAAAGTCTTACAAATAAATAAAATAATGCATAAATAATGCAAACAAGTCACTGGACATCATTACACGTGTAAAGAATCAAAATTAATGCGCCATAGATCAATAAAACGGAATAGCCTCTGCACGGACAATAATTAAATGATTTTAATTACTAAACCATATTGTTGATGAAAATAATAAGAGAAAAATACAAGTGGTTGTTGTTATTAATAATGTATCAATGATTTTGAAAAAGTAACAAATTAATACCACTGTTTTAAATAGCAGCCATTGAGCTGCAGCTCAAGCTGAAGCTGAAGAGCTGAATGAACACGGTAAACTGAAGCGTTTTGCTGGCAGCTTATTTAACTCAAGGAAATGCATCCTGAGATTAATATTAATACAACATAAACATAATAATACAACTTATATATGTACAAAATGACACAGTTATTGCATGCTATAGTCAGAATGTGTGATCCTGTTGTGGATGCGCGCTTCCCATAACAACGCGCTGAAACACAGCAACTAAACCCAAAGAATGCACAACGTTTTATTATAATAATGTTCTCATTAGAATGTTATATACACGACATTCCCAATCATAGTTATTAATGTTGTGCACTGCTGTTTGAGCTGCGTGCGCTGAGCTAAAGATGATCACTGGTAAACTGAAGCGCTCTTTTAACTTTACCAAACGCATTCTATATGAGATACATCAGATATACATCAAATAAACACAATATTACAATGTACAATTGCACAAAAGGCTGCAAACGAACAGCGCGCATCTGAAGTGTCTCTGAAGGAAATAATGCATTATTTATCGGCTTTAAGATATCGGCCAAATTTTCTTATCAGGCCGATACCGATAACAGAAAAAATGAGCATTTATCGGCCGATACCGATATGGTGGCCGATATATCGTGCATCCCTATTCGATAACCACAGTTTTCACATTTCAAAGAATGGGATTTGTGCTTCCACTGTTTTTAGAAAAGTAACGGAACACCAATTTATGCCCAATTTGTGGAAATTAGCATAAGGTTTAGGGTTGGGTGTCCTAATTTCACTTCGTATTCTGTATATTCTGCTACAGGATGAAGCTGATAACAGCAGAAGTGGCCAAGTACAGGGCTGGTCTGGCCTGTGCTCCTATGCATTTCTTCCAAGTGACCTACAACAAGCACAGTTTGACCTTAGATGACCTTTCAACACTTGATGACCAAAACTGGGTCAATGATCAGGTAGGCCTGTTTAAATCCATATTTCTAAGCAGTATATACATGTACACTGAAGTCACGCAGGATGTGTTTATCGGATTTTGCAGGTGATTAACATGTATGGAGAATTAATCATGGAAGCTACAGATCATAAGGTAAAAGCATTAATGGCATCCACTGGAGCTCTGTTCTGAATCTCGTACAGCTGAGATCCCCTGCAGCCTTGTGTCTGTGACCGAATCACAGCTGTACTGAGATTCACGACAGTCAGTCAGTCATAAGCTGTGTTTTGTCCAATTATCAATATTTTGGGGGCTAATATGTCTGTAGTGTAGCAGCAACACGAGCCCAGCTCACATAGTAGACACTTTCTGTTGGACAACGGTGTGAATTTCCCTGAACAACTTGAACCTGTTGTGAAATCTGTTTGCGGAAATCCTTCACCCTCATGAGAAATTCCTGTTTGTGTGGGAACCTATTAAATGACTAGATTTCACCCAAGAACATTTGCCAAACAGTGGTGAAGGTGTCCACTTATGAACTGTGATAGTTGTAGTTATTTAAGACTGGTATGTTTTCTAGAGGCTATGCATTACTGGCAGAAAGGCATAATAATAATACTACAATAATAATAATGATGATACTTGCTTTCTGTATGTTTAAAAAAAAAATATATATATATATATATATATGGATATCATAGTGTTATGGCTCTTATTTTTCACATTCATTCTGATGGTTTAAGGTCCATATAGAAAATGAATAGACATTGTTTTCTTTGTCTTTTTCTAGGTTCATTTCTTCAACAGTTTTTTTTACCGACAGTTTGTAGCAAAAGGTTATGAAGGAGTGAGACGATGGACCAAAAAGGTGAATGTGACGACACGCAAAACTTAGGGCCCTACGAAATCCGGTTTATTTTTTCCCAAATTACATTTTTTCTGTTTTAAGTTTTTGTTACTCTGTTTTAATGGTTAAAAAATTTTAATTAATCAAAAAACATGTCTAATTAATTGAAATCATGAAATTTACACAATTTAACAGCAATTTGTCAAAGGTTTAACAAAATTACATATTTAAGGCACTGTGAAATGTTTTTTTTTTTCTCTAATTCAGTTTTATTTTTTACCAAATTCAGTTTTTCATTAATTTTCAAGATTCCATTTTAATGGTTTCAATAAATTTTAATAATCAAAGGCATCTCTAATTGATTTTTTTTTTTTTTCAGAAATACTATGTATTTACATTTTTCTGCTAAATAAATAAATAAATATTTCTTAATGTTTTAATGATAATTTTATTAAAAGTGATAGTATTATCATTACATTAAGTAATATATTTTATAGATTTAGATGTACTGATCTTTTTATTTATTCATCCCAAATTTGGCAAATTCTGTGACATTCCGTGTTTTACAGTAACTTCCGTTTTTATGACTGGATTCCGCATTTTCTGCATCGCGGAAATCATAGGGCCCTAAAAACATCACATATTATCATGCATCTCATCTGTGCATGATAATGAGTCTCCTGTAAGTCTTTCCTAAGTCAACTTTTTGTTCTTTTCAACAAATGCCCACCCAGAAATTAAACTTCTGTCATCATTTACTCACCCTCATGTTATTCCAAACCTATATGACATTTTTTGTGCTGTGGAGGAAGATAGTTTTAAGCCCATTGACTTACTTTGTATGGACAAAAAAAACATAAATTTCTCAAAATTCTTCGTTTATTTTGTCTAACTGTTTTCTATCGAAATATGGAATTTGTGTCCCATTGCTGTTATTTTAAAGAATTGAGGCACTTATGTGGATTCCAAATAATGCAGAGTGTCTAATGTCTTCTGTCTTGATTTGCTCAGGTTGATCTGTTTTCTAAGACACTGATCCTGATTCCTCTGCACCTGGAGATCCACTGGTCGCTCATAATCCTGGACGTCTCCAAGCAAAGCATCAACATCTTCGACTCCCAGGGCATCCTGTTCAAGTTCGCTGTGGATGTGAGTGCTTTTGAAGGGTGCTTCAGACTGAAATCCTCAGAGACCTGACGTGTGTGACTCTCATCCACAGAACATCCTGAAGTACATCCTGGCAGAAGCCAAGGAGAAGAAACAAGCCGTGTTTCAGAAGGGCTGGAAGATGGTCATCAACAGGACCATTCCACAGCAGAAGAACGACAATGACTGCGGGGTATTTGTCTTGGAGGTAAGAAATGTTTCTGTACAGCAGAACTGGGTGGTCTGACGATATAAACAGTTCTGTAAACCGCTTTTGGGCATGAAACTTGTGGCGACTCAGTTGCATTTTCATTCACTGCTGATTTTTAATATCATGAAATGAAAATTCACCCTATATATTTTCTAAATGCACGGTATAGATTTTGAGAACATTTAATCTTTATTAAATCTCTTAAATGTTTGGACTTGGAGCAAATGATTGAGAAAATGTTGGTGTTCAAGATTAATAAGACCCTAGTGTTACTCTTAAGTTATATACTGCATCTATAATAAAATGACTCCTACCATGATATATAATCTTTCATTATGCAGTACTGCAAGTGCCTGGCGTTCATGAAGCCGCTGCTCTTCACTCAAGAGGACATGCCTCGCGTCCGCAAGAGGATCTACAGAGAGCTGTGTGACTGCAGACTGTCCGGCTGTCTAAACCAAGACAAAGCCTCGTAGACTGGTGTCTGGATGATGAACGCAACAGGAGGGAAAGGACTTCACAGCAGGAAAGAGAAACCCAAAGTTCTGGACAGGCAAAGCTGGAAGGTCCCAATATAAGAGCCTGTCGGTTTGCTGGAATTCTTCAGGTCACGTTTACCTCCTCGCATTACATCGGCGGCTCAGAAAGGCCTTTTCCCAGCCTCCTCAACCTTGAATTTAACGAAGCCTGCGACAACCTCTCAGAGAACCAGGTGGCTGTTCAGAAACAAGCGAGAAAATCCTCAGCTGTGGAGACGTTTTTCTGTTTTCCACAGATTCAAAACCTCACGCACGTGTGGATATTTTTTTTTAAACACTAGAATGGGTTGATGTTTAATTGTGTAATGACTGAAACTGATCCAAGGAGTTGTGCACTAATTACACAATGTCTTTTTTTTTTTTACACAGTGATTATTGCCCTGTTCACTCTCTGAGTTCCAGTTAATGTCAGCAAACCAGACTAAATTCACTGGGCGACACATTTTACATTTAGGATTATGCATGCAGTAGATGCATCTAAAGACAAACAGTGGGGCTTTTACAGCGAGAGATCACTTCCGGCACTTGCGTAAACTACGCCAGAGCGCGTACACACCTCGCGCACCAGATGCCGTGCGCACGCTCAAAGACAGTTGGACATAGTGGCGTATTAGAGGTAAAAAAATGATATAAATACTGTTCGGTTTCTGGCACAAACCGATCGTTTCGTGTCTTAGGACATCAATGTGTCGTCAGGAGCCGCAGGGTTTAATTTGGATTTGTCTGTGCATGTTTTTTTTTACTCTCATAGGTTTTGTTACCATTGCCATGATACGACTGATAGACGGCAACCACTGGACTTAAAAATCATAATTTGTGTTCTACTGAAGAAACAAAGTCACCTACATCTTGGATGCCCTGGGGGTAAGCAGATAAACACCAAATTTTAATTTTTGGGTGAACTATCCCTTTAAGACCTTTGTTAATTTTCAAAACGCACAAAAGTAGAGCACAGCAGCTCAAATGTGCAGCTTTGGTGGAACTGAATTTCAATGCAAGGACAGAAATCACTTCTAATACTTCATTAGAAGTATCTTCATTTGTCTTTCTGATGGGTTTGGTACGACATGAAGGTTAGTAAATTATCCTTTAAAAGTTTGATTTGAATTGCCAGAGAGAGAGCGTGTATAAAAGTATGTGCAAGTTATTAAGTTTTTGAGGAGAAAAGTGAGCCAAACCTTCCTTAAAGAGTTGAGAGAGCTGGCAGAGGGAAGATTGAGGGCTCACATGTTAAGACAACACAATATCACAGCATTCAGGTCCTCTGTTGCAGAAACTGAAAGGATACTCGACGAAACAGAAGCCGCAGGCGGTCTTCTTGACTTTGTCGAGGCCGATGACGATCCTCTTGACATCTCCGCTCTTGGAGAAGAGCTCGTGCACCTGCTCCTCTGTGGTGTAGAAGGACAGGTTTCCCACATACAGCGAGCAGCTCTGCTTCAGCAGCTTCTCCTGCTCGTAACGGTTGCCCTGCAGAGAAGACAGCTTCAGCTCTCCGGTGTGCTCCAATGGACAACTCTCTGTCTGGGGTCTTGCACACCAACAGCCTGTCTTTGCTTTATTTTTTAAATTAAACCTATATTTCTATTCAGCAAGGACAATTTCCATCTCAAAACATCAGAGAGTCCTATAAAAAGACACTTGAGTCACAGTTTTTAAGTAGCAAATTAGAGTGATTTCTGAAGGATAATGTGACACTAAAGATTAAAGTAATGGCTGCTGAATATAGAGCTGTCATTATATCAAGTATAAAATATATTAAAATAGAAAACAGTTATTTCAAATGTAATAATAATAATAATAATAATAATGCAGCCTCGGTGAACACGAGAATCTTCTTTTTAAAAACAAAAACCCTGTCTCTAACATACTTTTTTTAAAAGGAGCTGTATGCATTAAACCGATTCTATTTGAGTAACAGATATACTAAATACTTCATATTTATTATCCAAGGGCTGCCTCACAAAAGGTAAACTAATGTGGAAGTTTTTTTTTTAAATAAATACATTCAAGGAACATTATCCATAAACATTTCTTCAATTGCAAAAATGCAATTCACTATACAGTTAAGTGTGTATAATACATAAATAAACGAAAGAGAAAAATAACTATAATATAATGGGGAAAATATAAAAGGTGCCAGAATGTTTGATGCATCCTTATCAAAAGGAAAAACAATGCTCACCTTAAAATGTTGGTCTCTATACTGGCTTACATCCACATATGAGTCGCTGAAAAGAGCATTTAATTTAATAGACATGGTGAAATGAATCAAACAGATTCAGGTTCAGAGAAACAGAAACAGAATCAAACCAGCATGGACGCAATGAAAGCGGAAGCGCGTCCTTCTTCTTCCTTCAGTTAACAATAGTTGAAGAGTGCATTACCGCCACCTACTGACACTCACTCACTCACACACATTCAGATGCTTTTATTTGTATATTTAATAAAATAATAATAGAAATGTTTTTTAAACGTTTTAGAGGACTTTTGCCTACTTTTCAGCTAAATCATCTCGGTCGGGCTGATAAAATGAAATGAAATAAAAAATAATATAAAATAACATTTCACTTTGACCGATGGCTCCACTTTTCATTTGTTTAATGCAAATCTCGTTTTGCCCCGCGAGAGCGGCAGCGTCACTGGCGAGATCCAGCATGGACGTGAACACAAACAGCGGCTGCTCTGCGCGAGCCGAACGAAAACAGCGAGAAAAGGCGAGAATAATCCAGCGAGAGAAACAACGACAGACGGTGAAGACGGTATGAATGCGAGGCATTACATCTCTAACACATAACGTCATTATAATGAGTCCATATGAGCAGAAACTGTAACGACGCGAAACACAGAGCGGCAGCGTTACAGCCGGCGACACGAGCTAATTATCTCCAGTTCAAAGCCCTGCAGAGATGTTCATGGGAACCGTGGTTTGTACCAGAATGCCGTTGCTAGTACAGTTACAGTATAAAAACTGGTGGTTTTGTGCCATGTAATCAACGAAATGAAATTATGGTTAGATTCTGAAGGCTTCTCACAGTGTTTGGAGGAGATTCAGTGTTATTTTTGACTTTGTTGTAGTCACGGTTACTCTACCTGCGGTTGCCATTGTTTTGGCCAGTTACAAGACAAGAAACTCGTTGTGTGCAGCTGAGTCTGGAGCCTGAAGTGTGTGTCTGTGGCAGGTCTCCAGGCTCCTCCTGAAGTGTGTGTCTGATCTTCTCTCTCTCTGTGGCAGGTCTCCAGGCTCCTCCTGAAGTGTGTGTCTGATCTTCTCTCTCTCTCTGTGGCAGGTCTCCAGGCTGCTCCTGAAGTGTTAGACGGAGCGGACGCAGGAGGACAGGGCTCTGCTGCAGGAGCATCAGGACACGGTGCAGGAGCTGAGTCGGAGACAGAGCCGCAGAGCCCTGCTCAAGAGGAAGCAGGAGGAGGTGGACACCAAGCACCATATACCGCTGATCTCAAACAGGCCTTGAAAAGCTCTTTAAACTCTTAATTCACCCTTACACAAGTTAAGGTTTTAAATCAGAACAACAGTCTTAAATTCAAAAAGTCATGGCATGGCACAGCAAAAAAAAAATCTTCCTCAGTGCAAATATCCAAACATTCTTAAATCAAGATACATTTACTGATGCAAAAAGAAGAAATGAAGTCTGGTTTTCTGAGAAACTGAACAACATTTTGTGAGATCATGCTTAAAACAAGAGCAAATATCTGAAAATGAAAATCTTGTTTTCCTTTTAAAACGAGTCAGTCCATTAGCATATATTTGTTCTTGTTTTAATCATAAACTTGCTTAATGTTTAATGAATTTGACAGGAAACAAGACTTCTTGCCATTTTGTAAATGTATCTTGAATCTTTAGACATTTGCACTGGAAAATGACAAAAATACTCAGAGAAACATCACTTTTTGATCAGAGAACTTAAGTTATTTCTATATTCTAGGGGTTGGAAGCAGAGCTATTCAAGTCTTGCATATTTCACTTTTTCAGTGATCATATAAATGTGGTTGTGGTGGTTGCAGGTGTTTGATGATGCTGAGAATCTGAAGGCTAAAGTGAGGCAGATGGCGGAGGCGCTGCAGCAGGCCAAGCATGTGGTCATCTACACCGGAGCAGGAATCAGTACTGTGCGTCTTTCTCATCTGTGCTGGAAGCTACAAACACACTCACTGCCATACTCTTTAGGAAACATGGCCTGATGAAGTGCATTAAATACACTGAAATATGTGTGACTTCTGCTCAGTTTAGTAATACCAACATGTGTTGTAAATGTTAGATATGTTGTCCATCTCGGTGTTGGTGCTGTGTTAATTATGTGAGTTTGTGTGTTCTCGTCAGGCCGCCTCTATCCCAGACTATCGGGGGCCCAATGGCGTGTGGACTCAGCTGCAGAAGGGCCGATCTGTGAGGTGAGGGGTCCACTATTACACTGCTTCCTGTCTAAAATATGGCTTTAGAGTTTAAGATTCAGTCCTGCCTACTATTTATTTATTTATTTTTCTAGTTGGGTGTGTTCTGGTGCCACATGTTAACATCTGTCTGTCTTTGTATCCATCAGTGCGTCAGATCTGAGTCGAGCTGAGCCCACTCTCACACACATGTGCATCTGGATGCTACACAAAGTCAAGATGGTGAGTGACAACACAGGGTTTAAGTTAACTGTTTCTGTGAATGATCAGAATCCCGCATACATACAGCACACTCACATTAAACTGTTTGTACTACCGCATATAGCAAATCTCAATTGACTGATTGTTTTTTATATATATATATATATATATATATATATGTGTATATATATATATATATATATATATATATATACTACATAGCATCTGCCTAGCAAGTAGCCACTGCCTGATTTTTTTATTTCAGCACAAAATGTAACCATATTATCACACAGCTCTTCATATGATGTAGGGTGATATATATACTATTCTGCTTGATTGTTTGTCATTACTAAATGTAACTATAATCTAGTCTAGCTAAGCACAACTATAATGCATAAATATATTAAGATATTATGACCATTAATTTCTTTCAGTAAAGCTTTTTTGAAACAACATGTATTGTGAAAAGTGCTACACGAGTAGATTGAATAACAGTTTGCATCTTCTGCAGGTTCAGCATGTGGTCTCACAGAACTGTGATGGTCTTCACCTGCGCAGTGGTTTGCCCAGACACGCTCTCTCTGAACTCCACGGAAACATGTTCATCGAGGTCTGGGAATGAGATTTTTCATATTTTAAATTTGTCATAAATTTTGAAGTGAAAGTGTCTTGATTCTTTTGTCTTAAAGGATAGCGCAAAGATCACAAAATCCAGTGTTGAGGAAAAAACATTATTTAAAATCTGTTCCTATAACATCCAATGTTTTGTTTATTATTCTTCCCTTCTACAGGTGTGTGATTCCTGCTCTCCAGCACGAGAGTTTATCCGGCTGTTTGACGTGACGGAGCGCACGGCCCTGCACAGACACGGGACGGGCCGCCTGTGTCCTCTCTGCAAAGCAGAGCTCAGAGACACTATAGTTCACTTCGGTGAGCGTGGCACTCTGGAGCAGCCGCTCAACTGGAAGGGGGCCGCTGAGGCGGCAGAGCAAGCTGACCTCATCCTGTGTTTGGGCTCCAGTTTGAAGGTGAGGATATGACTTCTGCAGCTTAAAGGGACAGTTCTCCCGAAAATGAAAATTGTCATCATTCACTCACCCTCATGTTGTTCCAAACCTGTGTAACTTTCTTTATTTTGCTGAACACCAAAAAAGATATTTAGAATTTTGGTAACCAAAGAGTTTTGGTTCCAATTGACTTCCCATAGTATTTGTTGTCCATATCATGAAAGTCAATGGGAATTGAAACTGTTTAATTAGCAAAATATCTTCAAAATGCATTATAATTTTTATTAAAAAAATAGTATGTTCCACAGTCGGTCATACAGGTTTGAAACTACATGAGGGTGAGTAAATGATATATCCCATTAGCCTTTACTATGCGGCAGCAAGATTAGTTTTTAACAAGCCAAAAAGTGCGCATGTCACACCCGGGTGTGCCTCACATGTCCTGAAAAGTGAAGCTGCAGGCTCTTTGATCACCCCCTGGTGGCTGGCTGCAGTACTGGTCATAAACCCTACCCTCTCCATGTAAACGAATGGGACTTAAATTGTTCGTTTTTGTGATCAGTTTGATGTTAGCTAGTAATTTGATGCTATAAAAATGGGGCGTGTCATTATGGTTGATTGGGTCTGCGCTCTACTGCGCAGACTCGCGCCAAACGAATCACTACTGCGCAGACTCGCGCTCCAAACGAATCTCTACTGTGCAGACTCGGGCTCCAAACGAATCTTTACTGCGCAGACTCGGGCTCCAAACGAATCTTTACTGCGCAGACTCGAGCTCCAAACTACTCTACTGCGCAGACTCGGGCTCCAAACAAATCTCTACTGCGCAGACTAGGGCTCCAAACGAATCTCTACTGCGCAGACTCAGACGGCCATACTGAGATGCTTTGGCTTCTCTTTTCTATAGTGAAAGGAATAGGAGATGCGTTGTCCATCTTTTTTTACAGTCTATGGTCACACCTCTGTTCATTAGTTTGCACTGGCTACCAGCAGCTGCTCATGTAAAATTCTTTGATGTTTGCCTAAAAAACCACCACTGGCTCTGCACCCTTTTACCTAAATTCATTACTTCAGACTTATGTGCCTCTAGAAGCTTGTGTTCTGCAAGTGAACGTCGCTTTATTGTTCATCCCAAAGAGGCACAAAATCACTTTCACAGACTTTTTCATTAACTGTTCCCTCCTGGTGGAATGACCTGGCCAACTCAATCCGAGCTGCTGAGTCCTTAACCATCTTCAAGAAACAAATAAAAACCCATCTGTTCCACCTTTATTTGACCCTCTAACTCTAGCACTCTCTATTCTATTTATTTTCTGTCTACTTATTATTATTATTATTATTATTATTATTATTATTATATCAAAAATATTTAATAAATAAATAAAAAAACCTTGCTGCTTGTACTGCATTAGACTAACCAGGATTTTAATTGTTGCTCTTTTGTTGGTTTGATTGCTTCTGCTGTCCTCATTTGTAAGTCACTTTAGATAAAAGCGTCTGCTAAATGACTAAATGTAAATGTGAACTGATGTAATCTAGAGGTACGTGGCTTGAATCTTAGGCTTCTGGTACCACACATGGATAAAAATACTAACACGATACTAAAAACCTAGTAGTCGGTACTGAATGATACCACCAAAAGTACAGTATACTCGATACCACGGTAGAAAAAAAACCTTATTAAACGTATTATTAATTATAGTTATCTCACCAAAATTTTTGCTCAATCAATTAATTTTTTTTCTATGAGGTAATTTGTTGCAATAGTCAGTAATAAAACAAGAATAAATAAACACACTAGAAGCAGTAGCATAAAAAAAACAATAGAATAAAGATACAAAATAAATGCTGCACATTTTTTCAGGTAGATCTAACAGTAGCATTCAAGTAATACCACAGAAATTGAATAATCAAATTCACAAGTACTTTATGGTTTAAAATCGCTTGAATTTATTATAATTTTTTGCTCCGATAATCTGTTTTGGTTCAACCTACATGCTAAGTTTTATAATACTGTAGAAAAACAAGTACCGTCAGGATTTTAAAATGTTGTTACTGACTTGATACTGAAGTATCGGTTCTCATGACATCCCTAGTTTAGAGGCATTGCTCATATTTTTTCCTTGTGTTATTTAAGCTTTAATGAAAGCAGCAGCAATATGAGATGTTAAAAGTTTAACATATGTGACCCTGGACCACAAAACCAGTCTTAAGTGTCAATTTTTTTTTAAATAGAGATGTATACATCATGTGAAATCTGAATAAATAAACTTTCCATTGATGTATGGTTTGTTAGGATAGGACAATATTTGGCTGAGATACAACTATTTGAAAATCTGAGGGTGCAAAAAAATCTAAATATTGAGAAAATCACCTTTAAAGTTGTCCAAATGAAGTTCTTGGCAATGCATATTACTAATCAAAAATTAAGTTGATATATTTATGGTAGGAAATTTACAAAATATCTTCATGGAACATGATCTTTACTTAATATCCTAATGATTTTTGACATAAAAGAAAAATGGATAATTTTGACCCATACAATGTATTGTTGGCTATTGCTACAAATATACCCCAGTGACTTAAGACTGCTTTTGTGCTCCAGGCTCACATATTGCAAAATTTGCCAAAATGACATTGTTTTGTACTAAATAAAATGTTGTACTTTCAGTAATGCAGCTGATGTCATGTATAGTGTGTTTGTCCATCAGGTGTTGAAGAAATACTCGTGCTTGTGGTGCATGAACAGACCAGCCAACAAAAGACCAAAGCTGTACATTGTAAATCTACAGGTAGTATTTCATTTCATAAAACCGCTCAATCTCTTGATCCTTTTGTTTTCCATCAAATTTAACATGACTTTCAGTTTATTTGTTCTAAAAGCCTGCTGTGTTTTCCTTATTTATTTTAGTGGACACCGAAAGATACCTTGGCCACTCTGAAAATTCATGGGAAGTGTGATGCTGTGATGGGTCTTCTGATGGAGGAGCTGGGTTTGGGAACACCAGTTTACAACAGGCAAGACCCACCTGAAGTGGAATACATGTCTAATATACTGTTAAGGTGCTGTAACATTAGCGGGCAAAACGTCTTCATTGCCAATAGTGTAGTGTAGTGTATATGAGGCATTGCTCAGACAGAATTCACTTTCAAACCATGCAGCTTTCTGTTGGTCAATACTACAAAGTCACATGACAAATGTGAACGCGCTGTGCAATCTTTGTGGGGAAATCTTTTACCCTCATACAAAATTCCTGAGCACACGAATTTTCCTATTTTTCCTGATTTCACTAATGTGACCGCACCTTTAAGCAGAAAGATAAGAGAGCATTGTGAATATTGTCACGGCTAAAGACGGTCTCTCATGTCAAACTGAGGGATGTCACAGCTACTGAACGTTTTTGCTCAAATCTCTCCCTCTTCTGTTAAGAGCAGTGATGACCGATTAGTCATAGTTAGAATAGTTTACAAGAATGCAATTCTAAACACCGTGAGGCTGTGAAGGAGACAGCCGAGTAGATGAGTTTGAGGAAGTGATGATGTTTATTGTCCCCGACGAATTCTGTAGTCCTGTTTAGACACTTGTTACAAATCGCCTTTTTCAAGACTTCACTAAAAATCTTAAGTAAAAATTAACTGAAGTATTTAAAATCATAGAATAAAATGTGAAAATATATCTTGAGCTTGTGTTGTTCACCGCTGACCTTATTTCAGGGATTTAACCAAAAACCCATTCAAATTTTTTTTACTTTAGAATAACAACCAGACGTGTTAATATGCTTGGTTTTGTTTTGTGTTTTTTGGCTAAAATGCTTGTTTTCTGGGGTTTTGGACTCGTATAACATGGCCTCAAGCCTGATTGCTGTGTGAAGTCTCATATTTTCATCCAAAACATTTATTAATATTGCCTGGGATTTTTATGAATAACAGATCACAAGACCCCATCTTCAGCTTGGCTAAACCACTCAGTCCGCAGGAGCAGAAGAGCCACACTCGTGAAGAGATAGCGCCACCTGCTGCTCTGGAGCACGCTTCACCAGACACACAGGCTCAGGGTGAAGCTACAGCGGTTCAAGGCGGCTGGTTTGGAAGAGGATACGCCAAAGCAAGGAGGAAAAGAAAGACTGTGTAGTTTCTAAAGCATGACATGCCACACAGCTGCTCAGTTGGGTTAGGATCACACTCACTGCTTGAATACATGTTTCTGATTGGCCATTACTGATGAATGTGATCTGAAAAGATATAGCTGTTTTCCTCTGAAAATAACTTATTGCAGAGTAAGCAGGTTTACATGATGGTTTGACTTTGCTAAGTGCACTTTACTTCCAATCTCAGGATTATAGAATAAGCAGTATATGATTCTTATGATCGCAGTTTTATGAGAACAGGCAGACATTTGTTGCTGCTGTTGTTTTTTCACCCAAAATTAAAAATGGTCTTTTACACTCATGTTGTTCCAAAAATAAAAGATAAAAACAGATGGAAGTGAATATAGACAGACAGACAGAATGGAACTGTTGCTGTAAAGAACAGCGTGAACATTCTGTTACACTTCCTTGAATGTGACACAATGCAATGTGTTTAGAACAACATGTGGATGCGTAATTGACAGCTCATCGTTTGTGTTAGACTTTAGATTAGACTTGTTTAAATGAAGTCAGTGTTACTGAATTGAGTAAAAATGAATGCTTTATTTCAGTCCACTATTAAAAGAATGAATGAATTTTATCAATTTAATTAATTAGATATACAGATCCTCAACCAAATGATAGAATGTGTATGTATTTCAATCAACTGAATTATGTTGACCCTTAATATGGTGCTATAACTGATTAGTACCAGGATTTACATTTGAACCTTCCCTGTTTAAATACAGGATTTTATGTCTACGTAAGAAGCAAGAAAACCCTCACATGTGTAAGAACTTGAACTGAGATCAGTGTTTGGACGCTGTTTGTGTTTGACTGCTGTAAGTGCCATTACTTCTACGTCTTTGATTTTGTATTAATCACTATGTTCGCTTCGTCTCAGTTTACACGGGCATTTTATTTCAGACGTGTGGATTTCTATGTACTACTGTAAAGAAAGCTTGAGTATTTGAAGATTTACATGATATACTTGTATTGAAAATAAATGAAAATGTTTCAACATCTGCCACAATAATACACCGCCATCACTTCTTCAAACATGCATGATTAATTTGGCCCCTAAAAAATAAAAATGAGTATTTCCAAACACAGACAGGATGAGTTTTTGTTTTTAGCTGTTGGTTTTGAGGCGTTTTATTACATCGATGAGCTCTGGAAAGGCTGTGTTCTGGAAATGCCCGCGGTCCGAGTATTTCTGTAGATCTGTCTTCAGTCCATCAGCCACTTCCTGTTGCTCTTCCCAGGGCAGGAAGGGGTCGTCTGTAGATCCGAACTGAATTATGAACTTCACGTTTGTTCTCATCTTCTCCCATTCCCATGGCCGGCTGAAATATCCTGAGCATAATGAGAGAAGGCACAATAGCACACAGCACACTGATGGTAACTGATGTTATGAGTGGTTTTTACTCAAACTCACCGCTCTCGCGTTCATTCTCATCTCCCAGGTCTGATGTGTACGCACCTACCAGAACAACCGCAAAAACATTGTGTGTTTCTGCATACCTGAAAGCAAGCAATCAGTTGAAAACAAATAGTTTAGAAATATTCCTCGTCACTGAAAACATGCATTTAGTCAGATTAGTAACCAGTTGTTTGGTGCAAGAAGTATTTGAATATTATAGTTTCAAACTTCTTTTATAAAACTGCTGGCAGGGATTGAATTGGATGATCATTCGGATGTATCCGATCCATATCAACAGAAAGAGAAGTAAACCAAATAAGAAGCATACCTATATAAATACATAGATTAAGTAAGTGCTTATTAATAAATGATATAATAAGCATAAAAGCAAACCTACTCAAATATGCATGTGAAGAATCACTCAGTACCTCATGGCTGCAGCGGCTCCTGAGCTGTGTCCGATGATGACCGTTTCTTCATCACACTTCAGCTGCTTCTCCATGAACGGCAGCCAGATGCTCTCTCTGGCAGTCACTGTCAACTCAAATACAATATATTATACCAGACATATGATTCAGATCTCCTGTAATACAGTTATGTGAATTTGTACTACCAGGATCCGGCATGTTCTTCAGCGTACAAGACACATCTGGAATCTGCACAAAATGATTTGAAAAATCATCACATAATATTCAACCACTGTAACCCTATAAAATCTACTGTATCATATTCCATATGCAAATGTCTAAAGCCTGCAAGTTATCAACATGATCAAAACTTTGCTGATAAACCACCTTCAGATCATGGTTCATGTGTCTTTGCTGTGAAACATAACTGATTTTTATGAAGTAAATGTAAGAATAACTTATTTTGTAATGAACACTCACGGGACTGAAGCGACAGATTTACTTTAGGTTTATTTGTTCATCATTGTGCTGCACTGCATTATATGCGATTGTTATTAAGATCTGGTTGATTAACATCGCAAGATATTATAATTCTCATCTCATAAATACCAGCAAATGCACCATATTGCACATTTTCCTCAGTTTCGGGCTCTGAGGTTTTTTTTTAATTTCCATTTCAAGGAAATGGTTTTCAGACTACTGTTTGGCATGTCAGGATTGAGTAAGGTGAAATGCAGCCTCTGTCATTATGACCGCTGAATGATGTCTGTGCATGATTTCATTCTCTCGTTCAACTCATCATACCTCGTTTATTCGCTGCTTTGCCCATCCATACCAGTTACAGTGCTCAATGTTCCCTGCGCCGTTTCCCGGCACGATCACTGCTCTCTTCAGAGGCATTACAACCCGAGCTCCGCTCCTCTGTCACACAGAGCCCTGCGCGGAAGTGACCCCTGCGAGGAAGTGTTGTTCTCCTGCTGCGCAGCGCCGCCTCGAGCACAGTCCGCCAGGCTGCTCTCCACAGCACCACAGCACCGGGGATATAAACTGGGAACCGCCAGAAATACTGGCAGAATTGTGAGATAAAAAGTCGCAATTACCTTTTTTTTCATTGCGAGGCGGAAGCGGCCTTCGCTAATGCTCACATACCATTTATGTATACATAATTTGCTTATTTGTTTTTTTTTTTTTTAGAGATAAGGTAGTAAAAAAAAACTAACTACAATTCTGGTGATAGATATGCCAGTTCATATTTTCATGAAGGAAATCATAATGAAATGTATAATTCACAGAATTCACAGTGGCTTATTATTCTGAAAAATTTATAGGCTACAGCGGGAAAACTGTTGAGTCGTATTTGATATTTTACCCCTCTTTCTCTCAACAATAATGTTGATGTTATTTGTCAACTTCTTATTTATTTATTTTAATTTTTTAAAAGGAGTGAGGTGCCTCAAACGTCGCAAGGGGGCGCAACGGTGTAACAAGGTCACTGCATGGTTGTGAAAATATGTATTTATTACATTAAAACCCGATCTCTTCAAATGATTTACATTTTTTATGAAAATGTTACACTGAAAGCAACAGATCTGGATAAGCTGGATTGATATGAAACATATATAACCTATAGCAAATCTAGTGTTTAATGGATGCAGTAACTTTAACTCTTTTTTAAATAATAAAGTTTTTTTAATCTTGAATCTTGAAAAAAAGGCACGTTACTTTGAGCCTTTTATTCATTAATTAATTCATTTTTGTGGGACAGATCCGTACAAGAGCATTGACGCCCGGGTGATCTGTCATCAGTAAACCTCTCCCATCCGACTGAGAGAGGAGTGTGTGTGTGTGTGTGTGTGTGTGTGTGTGAGTGTGAGTGTGAGTGAGTGAGTGTGTGTGTGTGTGTGTGTGTGTGTGTGTGTGTGTGCTAGCTTTTTTCATAGCAAAGTCTAAGTACTCGGCTAGTACGAAGCTGTTAAAGTTCACAAGTACGTGTGTGTTTGCTCTGCGAAAGACGCGTGCGCGTGTAAGTGAATATGAGCTGTATCAGTCAGTCGCTCAGTCGTGGTGTGAGCGAGCGGCTCTCTGGATAGCAGCAGATTCAATGCAAACGAGTGTCGGAGGTGATGAAGGATCAGGGTAAGGACTATTTCCATTATGAAATAAAGCGCTTATCTAGGTCTATATTTATTTAGTAATCATAGCAAATGTCAAAACTGGCTGATACTAACTTTTATTGGCCAATAAAATATGTATCAATCTCCTGACTGACAAGCACCCAGCTAACAAATATATGTTCTGAGAACTTTTCGCTAACGTTACGATAATGTTATGAAAACAGTATTTCTAAAAGTTCAAAACGTCCAGTTTTTTTTAAATGTTTAAAACCCCTTTCCTTGGTTATTGCGAACTTTAGAGAAAACATTAAGGCAGCATTTAATTTGATCTTTTTTGCAAACATTGTGGGAACGTTACATCTGAATGTTCTCTGAACGTTCTGAAACAAGTAGTAAGTTGTAACATTGAAATACGTTAGAGGAACGTCCAACTAAAAGGTTTCAGGAAAAACAGTCCACGAACGATGTGTAAAGAACATTTAAAGAACATTATTAGAGACAAACATTCTGTTAATGTTACTGGACGAACTTTTGTTTACAACTTTTCCCAAAGTTTTGAGAATATTCCCTGTTAGCCTATAACTTTTCCTGGATAAAATATTTGGCCTTTTGGATGCTCATAGAAAATAATCCTCTGTAATCATCTGTTACGCTTGCTAATTCTATCTTTCCAAATTTCACCCAAATATGAAAGTCTTTAAAAGCACAAGATAACTTATATCTTATTATATACAGTGGAGTCTGCATTGAAAATTTAGCATTTCAAATCTAATTTAAACTCTGAAATATACAGACTTTTTTAGGAGTGGATATGCACTCTTTCATATGTGTTCCAGAAAGTGACATCTCTCTCTATAAACACACACACACACACACACACACACAGCACTGTAATTCACTAGTGAGCCTGTCTGAGCGTTTCTTTCTTAGCTTTTCACATGCAGAGTCTCCAAACATAACATGATGGTGTGGAATGCTGGATCTCTCTTGTGTTTTGAATTGTAGGAGAAAGGTTTTGTGCGGGTTTTTGCTTGAGGGCTTCAGGCTTGGTTGGTTAGTCTCTGGCCTCTGCATGTCTTTGTTTGAGAGTAGGGCAGTAGGTGGTTTTCGTTCTGTGTGATCAGACATGTTAGAGTCTGTCATGACAGCTGTGGCCACGGGTAGGACTATACTTTTATTCCCTGTATATTTAGATACTGCAACAGATGTCTCAGTGACCGAGGGGTTCAGAAGTCACGGTGTCTATAAAGATATGAACTTGTAAGCCAGAAGGACAGATGAACAATCACTGGTCACAGTACAGCAGATCTCTCACCTGTCCAGTATGTTGGCAGACCCCACGAGGTCAGCTTCAGGTCTGTCTCTCTGTGAAAATCCACAACAGTCAGATTTTCTGGCTGCGCAGGCCGATCAGAGATGACAGCCGGATGGGCGAGGAGAGCAGCGAAGCGTGTCGAGTCGTAATCCTCAGCTAATGTGTTCAGAATAACCTTCTGACCGGGCCTGATCCTCGCGCTCCTCTTCCTTGGTTGGATTAGAGAAGTTTTCTTTGCTCTTTTCACGGCAGACCCAGGCCGGCTTCTACAAACGCTTGTGATCAGCCTCTTCTCTCCCACAGCGCACATGTCTTACATGCCCATGTCTCATAGAGAGCCCATGATTATATGTATTATAATGATAATCTCTGTTATTTGAATTAAGAGCACTGTAGATCTTTTGATTCATACAGTACGTGTCAAAAGTTTAGAATAATTTTCTGTTGTTTTTTGTAAGGATCTCTTATAATGCTCACAAAGGCTGTATTTATTTGGTTAAAATGCAGTAAAAATAGTAATATTGTGAAATATTATTACAATTTAAAAGAAATATTTTATATTTAAATATATTGTAAATTATATTTTATTTCTGTGATCAAAGCTGTATTTTCAGCATCATTACTCCAGTCTTCAGTGTCACATGATCTTCAGAAATCATTCTTAACTGGTGCTCAGTCATAGTCAATTATCATTGGTACTTAATTATTAATAATCATTCCTATTAATACCAAGGTCAAAAGCAGTTTTTGCTGCTTAATATTTGTGTGGAAATCATGATACATTTTTTTCAGGATTCTTTGATGAATTAAAAGTTCAAAGAACAGCATTTATTTAAAATAGAAATCTTTTGTAACATTATAAATGTCTTTAATGTCAGTTTTGATCAATTTAATGTGCTCCTGCTGAATAAAAGCATTGATTTTTATTTACATTGATAATAATCAGAAATGCTTCTTGAGCAAAATCAGAATGATTTCTGAATATCATGTGACACTGAAGACTGGAGTAATGTTGCTGACAATTGCATTACAAGAATAAATTGCGGTTTGATCAAATAAATATAATCTTGGCAAGCATAAAGGCTTCTTTCAAAAACATTATAAATATTCCAAACTTTTGACCGTTAGTGTACACCTCAGCTATAAAAAGGGGATCTGAAACTTCACATGATCATAATGATCTCCATTATTTCCCATGAGATATAACCAATGACCATGAACAGCGACTTTCCAAACCTGTATGCAGTCATTCCAAAATTAACATTTTGTCATATTTTTTTCACTTTCATGTCATTATGAAACCCAGCATTTTCTGGCTGCGCAGGCCGATCAGAGATGACAGCCGGATGGGCGAGGAGAGCAGCGAAGCGTGTCGAGTCGTAATCCTCAGCTAATGTGTTCAGAATAACCTTCTGACCGGGCCTGATCCTCGCGCTCCTCTTCCTTGGTTGGATTAGAGAAGTTTTCTTTGCTCTTTTCACGGCAGACCCAGGCCGGCTTCTACAAACGCTTGTGATCAGCCTCTTCTCTCCCACAGCGCACATGTCTTACATGCCCATGTCTCATAGAGAGCCCATGATTATATGTATTATAATGATAATCTCTGTTATTTGAATTAAGAGCACTGTAGATCTTTTGATTCATACAGTACGTGTCAAAAGTTTAGAATAATTTTCTGTTGTTTTTTGTAAGGATCTCTTATAATGCTCACAAAGGCTGTATTTATTTGGTTAAAATGCAGTAAAAATAGTAATATTGTGAAATATTATTACAATTTAAAAGAAATATTTTATATTTAAATATATTGTAAATTATATTTTATTTCTGTGATCAAAGCTGTATTTTCAGCATCATTACTCCAGTCTTCAGTGTCACATGATCTTCAGAAATCATTCTTAACTGGTGCTCAGTCATAGTCAATTATCATTGGTACTTAATTATTAATAATCATTCCTATTAATACCAAGGTCAAAAGCAGTTTTTGCTGCTTAATATTTGTGTGGAAATCATGATACATTTTTTTCAGGATTCTTTGATGAATTAAAAGTTCAAAGAACAGCATTTATTTAAAATAGAAATCTTTTGTAACATTATAAATGTCTTTAATGTCAGTTTTGATCAATGTAATGTGCTCCTGCTGAATAAAAGCATTGATTTTTATTTACATTGATAATAATCAGAAATGCTTCTTGAGCAAAATCAGAATATCAGAATGATTTCTGAATATCATGTGACACTGAAGACTGGAGTAATGTTGCTGACAATTGCATTACAAGAATAAATTGCGGTTTGATCAAATAAATATAATCTTGGCAAGCATAAAGGCTTCTTTCAAAAACATTATAAATATTCCAAACTTTTGACCGTTAGTGTACACCTCAGCTATAAAAAGGGGATCTGAAACTTCACATGATCATAATGATCTCCATTATTTCCCATGAGATATAACCAATGACCATGAACAGCGACTTTCCAAACCTGTATGCAGTCATTCCAAAATTAACATTTTGTCATATTTTTTTCACTTTCATGTCATTATGAAACCCAGCCCAATCTCACGAGAAAACATGACTCTTTTATGAGGTTATGAGTTTGTACGATGTGACTTGGACAAAATGCAATGTTTAGAAAAAAAGCAGGAAGGTTCACCCAGTCACTAAGATGAAATCAAAATGAGATTAAACTAATTCATACAAATTAACCACCAAATCCAAAATGTAAAATAGTAACAAACTGCCATGAGATTGTGTTGTGTAAACCTGTATGACTTTCTGTCTTCCATGAGATGCTTCACAGATTATACATGTTGACATTTTCCATACAACATAGTTGAACATTGAACATTTGTCATAATAGATTCAGCCTCATGTCCTTCCAAACCCATAAAACCTCTGTTCATCTTAGCTGAAGATATTTTGATATTACAGGTTTTCTGAACAGACATGCTCACTTAATTTGATCCTAACATATGCACATAGGGCACATCAAATATGGTATGGACAAACACTCAAACATGATCGTGAGACGTGCAAGGACAGTGAGGTTTATTTTTGCATCAAGCATGCACATTTAGCTTCTGTTCAGCTGTACTTTTCAGTTTACAAAGATGAAGGTCATACAGGTTTGAAACGACACGGGTGAATAAACAATGACAACATTTTCATTTTTGGGTGAACTATAGCTTCAAGCACTGAAAGGTCCTGATGTGAAAGTGAAAGATCCCACACAGAGGTTTGTGAATTACCAGGGTTTTCTGATTTTGAGAAGAGAAATACTTCTGTTATGTTCATGGGAGGAAGTACGAGTTTAGACAGAACCAGCAGGCAGAAAACTCCCTTTTTTCCTGCACAGGTCAGGTGCTGTCTGTGCACGCTTACTCGAAGCTCAAACTGTTTATGAGTCTCTATAGAAACAGACACGGCCTTCATCTCTAGCCTGAAATGATATCAGAATGTTCCTTCACTGCTTACTGCAAGGAGATACTGTGAAGATTCACACAGACAGATAGACAGACAACACTCAGCAATGCAGGCTTGAGAGAGTCAATGAAAACTCAATATGTAGTTTCTCAAGCCTAACGTGACCAGCTTCGTTAAATCTTACATTTAGGCAATTGAGTTTAGAATATCAATATAATGACAGAATGGCAAAATATTCAAGCAGATTGAAACATTTTTGACCACTAGACTTTTGGTCATAGTCCCAAA